CCCCAAAACCCCAAAACCCCAAAACCCCATTAGGTTTGAATAGAGTTTAGTTAAATTCAATTTATTTAAATTCAAATATGAACGAATTGCGTAGAAATTAGGATTTTAATCAGACGTAAAGTCTTGATAAGAATTCTACTTTCAAAAGAAAGCCCCAGCAAAAGGAACTCAAAGCTAAGTAACTTATATAAAGATAACCAAAACCTTAATAAATGTCTATACCATCATAATAAGGTAAGAATTCAATCACTGAGATAAAACATATGTTAACTTTAATTTAGATATGATTATAATAGAAGAGGTGATAAGGCATGCGAATGCCTCATACGAGTAAGATTTAATGAAAAATGCACATGCAAAATTTGACTAAGTGAGATTGATACAGTCCTATGAGTATGTCTTGAAGTAATTCGGCTTAGATCCATTGAATGATTCTCATTTCTACAAAATCCTAATGGAAATTGAAAATTATAGAGCAAATTAGGTGCAAATTTAGTAGCAACCTTAATTTAACAAATCAAAGTAAATGTCTAGACAGGCATCTTAAGCTTCTAATATTAGTTTATAAGTAGACTAACAGAACTTGATGTTAGCAGACTAGAATTATAGTAAATGTCTAAAAGCTAAAACCTTCTTTAGTTTGGTACAAAATATGGTAAGCAATCAAATTAGTAAACTCGAGAGTACCATTCAGCATCGAGAGTCAAATGTACAGAGAAATCAACCAATAAAGCAAAGTACGCTTTCGTCCAATAAATCAAGTGAAAACCTAAATAAAAGGCGAAAGAATAGTCAGTAAAGAGACAAGGAAAACATGATGAAGACATCCAAGCAGACCTCAGGAAGGTAAACATAGAGATCTAATAATAATCAATCGCCCTTGAATGAAGTTAACCTAAATAATCATAACATTAATGCAGTAATTGATGAATATCAGGTAATCCAATATAAGAACCCGAAACTCATGAAAAATGTAGTTTCTTAACAAGACCTAATTCAAATGCAGAGAAATTCAACTAAGAGTAGCTTTTAGGATGATAAGTAAATAACCCAGCCTAGTAGTATTTAACATACATCTCATACTAATTTCTAGAACTTTGATCATAGCTCATCTGAGTTCACCATCAAAGATAAATCTTTGAACTTCACCTAGTAAAATTCAAACAGACAACTTAATACACAGAGAATAATGAATTAAAGTCAGTCTACTTCTGCACTCTATTCTAACAAGCAAATTATTGGAGATAAAAGTAAGTTTAATACTAAAAGCAAAAAATGTACCAATACAGACTACAAACTGCTGCTTAAGACTATGAGATGCTGGAAGTAATATATCAAAATAGAGAAAAGGATGAAGGCTTATGAAGAGAAGTCCATTGAATCTTGGGCTCTAAGTATTCACTACTATGAGTAAACATTGATAACAAAGTCATTTCTTTGCTTACAGAGAAATATGATAAGTAAATAGATTGATAAAAAGGGTTTAAGAGTATAAAAAGAAGTTGTATAGCAAAGAGCCTTGAAAAAATTCTTCAAAAAGTGGTAATCATCTTATGATACAGTCTCTAAAAGAAGAAATTAGATGTTTAAGGCTTTAAATCACTGGGGAAATAAAATATAAGGCAAAGTCATCAAGAGAATTAGAAACTATCTAATGCAGGATAAGCATGCAAGATTAGTCAATCTCGATAAATATCTTAATAAGCCATCAGCTATTTATCATATCCTAACCTTTACAAAGATTAATCTTCTTTAAGAATGGACCTAATAATAGTAGCTTCAAACTGTATTGAATGATAATGTAAAAGCTAGATTCTAAGATTTCACTCCTTATATTGCAAAGTCAGTTGAAAATTTGTATCTGAGAAGATACTTTGAAAACCTGGTGATGAATAAGGAAAGAGGAGTAAGTTATAGAATCAGAGCAGATATGAATTTCAAGCAGAGGGCTTTTAAGAAACTCAGACAAGCCTATACTAAAATTAATACTGTGAGCAGAATAGGAGGAATAGTAGAATATAATCATAGTTAAAGATTAGTCTGGACTTACTTTGGCTAATGGCTTGGAAAAACTACTAATAAGATCTTGAACAGTTAGAAGATGGACTAAGCAGAAGGATTTCATTAAAGAAACCTGAAACAAAAGTCAATTTAGGGTTTCCTACTTTACTTGAATAAAAAGCATTAGACTTAATCTTAATTAAAGCAATCAGTCCGAAGTTCTTTAAGCAAAGCTATTAGACAAACTTTTCAAGGTTGGAAGTTTGTGACCCTTTACAATAGAAAGTTTAGGCATTTGCTATTGGAAGGCAGAAAGATTCAGACCTTTGGCTTGAAGAGTCATTACTTTATGATTTGGATTAAAACTGCTATCGTTGTCTGCAAAGCAAGAATGTATGAGGAGTAAAGTTTGAAGAAAAGAGCTATTCAAGGCTTCCAAAGATTCATTGAGCACTAAGAAAACCAAAGAATGCATGAGGAGGAGGTAGCCGAGTAATTCAGACTTAGGATGTAGAGGAAAATATATTCTGAGTGGCTAAGCTTTACAAGCTAGGCTTAGACTGAGAGAAATCTAAGAAGAACAGTGTTCAAATATATGTAAGAAACTAAAATGAGGCAAATTATTAAGAGATGGAGGGATTAGAATATGAAAAATAAAAATTTAGAAGAGATTGGAAACAAAACTCAGACATTTTCAAAGGTCAAGAATCTCAAGTAAATCTTTCAAGCAATGAAGAATCTGACTGAGACAAAAAGAACTGCTTTTGAAAAATATGATATCCTAAACTCATAAGTAACAAAGAAAGTCCAATCTTAGGTACTGCTAGGTTGGCTTTAGCTCTTCAGTAGAAAACTTACATTGAGGCAAAAGCACAAACAAGTAGCAATGAATCACATCAGGAAACAATTTGTAGGCTACTTCCTTTACTGGCTTAACTTAACCTCAAACCAGGAATTCAAACGAACAAGATTCTTCCGTCGCAGAGCCTTTAACCTTTCGACCAAATCCTTCACTGCTCTCAAGCAATATTCTCTCTAAAGAAATGCCTTTAAAAAGTAACTTCATGGCTTCCTTAAGAACAGAGCCAATAATCTAATGTTCAAGGCACTACAGATGATTTTCTAGCATACTAAACAGAATGAGATATAGAGGAAACTCAGGAAAGTATCAGCTTTTATATATCTTGAAAAGGCTCTTAAGAAGCACTATGGAATGTTTAAGAGAAATTGGGCTTTGAAGAAGAAGGCTAAGCAGATTAGGATGCAAATAGCAGTTAAGATGATTTAACAAAGTTTGCAAATTTGGAAAAAAGCATATGCCTGCTAGGACATTGTGAATAAATTTAGAATTACCTAAAATAAATAAGTGCAATAGAGATAGTTCGAAAAGTTGAAAAAATATGCCAATAAGTAAAGCATTAGAAAGAATAAGATTAGGAAAGGTTTATTTAGATATGTATTCAGACTATGCGCTCAGTCTATAGTTGCTCTTAAGTAAAACTTAAAGAAAGTCAAAAATTCAAGAATCAGGAAGTCAAAAGTCTATAGCATTTATTAAAGAAGAAATTTAAAAACTCATTTTAACCGATTGAAGAATCATCACTCCAAAATGACTGAAAAGAGATAAATAGCAAGGTAAATGGGCGTTAAAGCGCGATCTGTTTTATTCAATCAGGTCTTCAATTCTCTAAGACAGTATTCTTAGAAGAAAATTGGCTTAAAATTGGTCTATAAACCCATGCTAAACCTTAAAAACAGAAAAATATAGAGAGCCTGCCTACTTGCGCTCTATAAGTACTCCTTTGAAAAATCAATATAAGAGGCAAGTCTGAAGAGATTTAAAACATAAGCAAATGAGAAGACAAGAGCGAAGATCTTTGATGCTATGATAAGGTTTAAGTTCTTCTAGCAGTATTTGAAAGACCTAAATTTCAAATCAAAAGGACTAATGAAGTTAAGGCTCTATCGTAAATCCTTCTTTGTTCTCATAAGAAATAAGCTTTAGTCAAGCTATCATAGAAGTATATTGAGACAAAGTAGACTAAACATTACTAGTAAGTATCTTTAGCATTGGATAACAATATTCAATGAGTTATAATACACCAAGCCTCTTGAAAACACTGCTAGCACTTATATTCTTAAGAAAATCTTCACTAAATTCTGCTTAAAGATTTAAGAGTCTTAATAAAAAAGATAGTTAAAGTAAGAGTATGAGTAAAAAGCATTGGAGTTCTTTGAAAGAACCAATAAAAGCAGAGCCATTAAGAAAATGATGAGGACTTTTCAAGTATAAAAACTCCAAAGAATGAAGAATAACTTGTCTAGGTAGATATTCCTTAAGAAAATTTTTAATAAATGGAGATTTAATCTAGTAGAGATGAATAAAGGCAAGACCTAGCATCTACTTGTTCGAAATTTCAGAGCATTTTGGCTTCAAAAACGGGCACTTACTAAACTCGAGGAGGGTGTTTAGGTCTCACTAAGATAATAGGTCAGAGCAAATCAAATAAGAAATTAGAAAAATTTAAAGCTAGTCAGAAAATGTTACTATAGATTGGCTTAGAATGTTCAAACCCAAAGTTTCATTGTAGAAACTCTCAAGGATAAGATGAAGGTTATGGATCGTATTATGATGAGGCCTAAATTCTATTAGTGGAAAGTATTCCTAAGTGAATGCAGGAAAAATGAGAAAGCCAAGTATTTTAGAGTAGAGAGAGGCTATATCTATATTATTAGAAAATACTTTGATTAATTTAGAATAAATACACTTGAAAAGAAGCAGCTTAAATTGAACTTTGAAAAGGCTCATAGCAAATACAATTAGAATCTTTAACTCAGATACTTTGCTTACTTTATCGATAGAGCTATTGATAGACAAACAAAAAGAAAACGGTACACTAGCTTTAGTATAAACAAAAATCAGTAAAAGCTTTAGGAGTACTTTTATGCTATGATTGCTGTGATAAATGAACTTAGACTGAGAAGATTCAATAATATGAAAGCAGTAGAATGCATTACTAGTAATCTTAAAAAGAAGTCACTGATCTGTTTACAAAGAAATCACTGCCTCGGCTAGATACAAAAAATGATTGAGCGATAGAGTAACATGAGAGTGCAGTTCAATGTGGTACAGTCTTGGAAAAAAGGATTTCTTCAGTCACAGTCTTTAAATCACATAGTCAATACACTTTAGAACGGTCAAAATAGACTTATGATGTAGTAGCTGTTCTCAAGATTGGTTAAGCTGAGCTTCTATTAACAAATATTTGAGACTCTGGAATCTAAGAGAATACTGAACTACTCAAGGACATTTATTGCCTTGCTTAAGAGGAAGGTATGCTTCACTTAAATTGTCTATGGCTTTGATATGGCTAGAGGCCAGATTTACAAGTAAAATGCGTTCAGAGCTCTAGTAGAGTATAATTAGGAGCAGTAAAAGCGCTAGACTATGATGATGAGTCAACTGAATATTGTGATTGAAGAGACTAATAATGTACAGATGAAGACTTGCTTCGAGTATCTCTAGGCTAATGCTTATCAGGAAAGAATGAAGAAGCAGGCACTCTCTGTCTATATTTACCGTTTAAAAGCAAAAGCCTTCCAAAGCTTGATAATCATAGGAGAAAAACAGTTGTCGCAATACTATGCAACAAATCAAATCAAGATGAAGCGAACTATGAGATACTTTTGCAGCTGGATCTAGTCCTTCTAAAAAGCCAAATAAGAGAATTTAATCAAGCAAGTCCATGAAACCAATACTCTGAACAATGTAGTTTAGGGATGGAGAGAGTATACTTAAAAGCAAAAAGCAGCAAGATATTTCCATACTATGAAGCTAAATCAGAATGCAGTTCCATTGGCATTCGACTGTCTTAGATTGCACAGTGTGAGAACAAAGCAATTGAGATAGATTGAGCAGTCAGTATCAAGTAATCATGAATTTTGCCAAATTAAGACTGTTCTTCTGAATTGGATGTAGTATCACAATCTCAAAAAGATATCAATGAGCATGAGAAGATTCCACGGGTTCAAGCTTTTAAAGGTAGTCATTGATGAGTGGTCAGAACATGCTAAAAAGTAAAATGAGCGTAGAATGTAAGTCAGAGAAATGCAAGAAAATTTCTATGATAGACCTTACCTGATTAGGCCATTATTAGTCATCAGAAATGTTTGTATCTTCAAAGCCTTTTAAGCCTTGAAAATGGGCACTTAGATTTCAAATGAATCAATAGTCTAGAGAAACAACTGTCTCTACCTGTAATACTCCCGACTCCTCAAGAAAGGTTTCTACTCTCTTAGAATGTTTGTAAGCAAAAGGCAGCAGGACAAAAAAATCAGAATGCTTAGAAACTACTTTATCACACGCAGATGGTTCTATAACCTCAGAAACGCTACTTACTTCAAAAGATGCGAGGATAAGCGCCGAAGAGAATCTGCTATCTTTAAAGTCCTAAATGTCTAGAGAAAAGCCTTTAACGTGATGCTTTAATATGCCAGTGAGAGGCAATAAGAGAGGATAAAGATATAGTTTGCAGAGGAAATGTACTACAAGCGACTGGCTGATCGAGTGCTAATCAGTTTTAAGATAAATGTGCTTAATGAGTTGCAAGCCAGAGAGTCTCAGATCATTAGCGGTTAAAACACTCTTTAGAATTGTGATCTCACAATGGGGATCAATCAGTCAAGATTTGAACAAGATCTGAGTAACTTGCAAATCGAATGCACATAAGTTCAAGATTATAATGAGAAGAAGAGACTTGTGACTGAGCTTTATTTAAAGAAACTACTGTATAAGTGTTTCGTATGTTGGGGTAATCAGGCTCTCTGTGTAAGTGAAGACGAAGAGGAGAGAAGTCATATGGTAAGTGGCTTTATGAGTGAGTAAAGAACTCTTAATAACATTTATGAAAACTAAGAAGAAGAAGAGTATGCCTCCGAGGACGAAGCCAACTTTATTCAGGTCTAGAGAAGAAAATGAAGTAAATTAATAAGAAATCTTGCTTCTTATATATGAGTGTTTATACACAATTATTAAATTAGATATGTTTACAGTTTAATTAATATCTGGAAGTTTAATTAAATCCTTAATCTTAGTTTCGTATCTATAATTAATCATGGGGTTTTGGGGTTTTGGGG